AGGTAGAATTATTCGGGTTCTATTCATTTTAGAACGACCCAGTTGTTTAATATACTTCTGGAGTTTTAAGTAATCTACCAAACAAATTTCCCTATGATTATTCACGGTTACATGCCTGGGCTATAATAACGTAAATTTATCAACGAAAACAATTAGATAAGGAAATTCAGCGCTTTATTTTACCGTTTGATATGATAGTGCCAAAGAAAAATTAAATAATTAAAACTATATTAAAGAGGTTTTATTTTCATATGGGAACATGCAGAGAGAACAGTATTGAGATGTCCTCTAAATATATCCATTGACCGATTGAGACTAGATTAAAGAAACGAGTAATATTTTCCACTGTGGTATATATATATACGAGTCTCTGTGTTTTTTTGGTGTATATTGTGGCCTGTAAGTCAGTTAGTGGATTTTCTAAGTGGTTGGACCTGTAGGTATATACGAATTGTGTCTGAAGTAATTACAAGATTTACATCATGACCAGTCTATGCGCTTTATAGATCATACACTACTATTGTGATACATATTACAGTCTATGCGCTTTATAGATCATACACTACTATTGTGATACATATTACAGTCTATGCGCTTTATAGATCATACACTACTATTGTGATATATATTACAGTCTATGCTCTTTATAGATCATACACTACTATTGTGATACATATTACAAACGAGAAACATGTAGAGTACCATATATTTCTCTATTTAAGAATTGAATACTTCTTAATATAATTTTATTGAGGTGTAAAAGCGTTGATCGAAGTACATTTTGTATTAAGCGATTTTACAACCCTATGATTTTAAAAAGAAGCATTTAATTCTTATTACATTCAGCCCATCAAAATTAGGGATTCTAATGAACCATACATGTAATGTAATTATACAGACATACAGAGCTGTCAACATATATTTGTTCCTCCTAACAGATGTTCCACTAGAAACTTTGTTATATACTATGCCATGCCATCTGTTCCTGTTAGAACAAATATTCTACAACCTTTATTTCGTAAGGAACAAATACTGTAATATTTGTTCCAGTGGAAATAATATTACAGACTATTTTTTTCCACTTGGAACTTATATTATGAAGGAACTTCTATTTCGCGACCGAGCAAAAAACAAGTTTAAATATTGGTCTGTAATAAACAGCTCTATTATGCTTTCAAACTTTTTTTGAAGACTGGTGTAGTATCAGAATGTTTAAAGTCTTGTGGTTTCTGTCCATTTTCTAGCGTTTTTTTAAACATTAGCGGAAGGATTGGAGCTATGTGTTCTTGCGCATTACGTTTTGGGTATGACCACTGATATCATCTGGACAAGTGATTTTATACTTTAAATGGTATGGTCTGAACGATAGATTAGTTCTACACCGATCGTAGAAATTCTATTTACTTCTTGTCTACTTAATAAAAAAAACTGCTTGCCACGTTAATGTTTTTGTAATTTTTGTAATTTGGGGTTGACAGCACGTTTTTAATAGTCTTTGCTAAATTTGTTCAAGACTTTGTTTAAGGGACATTAGCTACGAATTTGACAAAAAACTAAAATACAATTTTTGGTTCCAAACCATTATAAAAGCGGGCTAAAGAAATACTAAATCGCTATTTAGTATTAGCAATCTGAAAAAAAATAATCTGGCCTCTATTTTGACAAAAAATCAATCTGGCCTATTCAGTTGCTAAAAAAAATATACTGGCTTTATCTTCAGCAAGTATGACATGTATGATGTATTTTTTTTTTAAATATTCTTGATATAAAAACCCAGCCCCCACCCCCCGAACGTCAAATGGTCCATGCCTTATGCAGGAGCTGTGTCCACCCTCCTCAGTGCAAAGGACTTTTTAATGAACTTATCAATGGGCAGTTTTATTTTGATAACCTTTATAACTGTAGTTTTATTATAGAACTTTTTGCACTCGGAGAGTTGGATAACACCCTCTTCAATAAACCTTAAATGATCCAATGATTTTAAATCCCTAGTCGCAATTAAAAATGTTTAAATCAGGCTTAAAATATTCTATTCAACTTGAAAATGAATGTTACATGAACCATTATACTAACCCTGACATTCGTCCCTAGGCAGGTCAGTTGTTTTTCTTTCAGGAGTTTTTAACTTTTACAGTTACAATGGATAATGTTTATAATAAGGAATCTCAAAAATTTAATTTTTTATCACATATATTAGTGTCAAGATTTATTAGTACTTGTTTTGAAATAAAAGAAAATTTGCATATACATGTAGTAGTGATGTTTATGTTCCATGTATTACAAAGGTTATATTCTTTTTATTTTTAAACACCATCTTGTATGGAGGATAGTTATTTATTCATTGATTTTCAATGTAATATATCTTTAAAATTACTGTATTAATACTTTTAAATTATTTACTTTTTACTGTAATTTATATAACAGTTCTATTTTAATTATGAATACATATACATTTATTTGTTTATTTTAAAACTTTCATCACAGACGAGACAAAATCTTGAGAAAGTTGAGACACGCGAGTCTCATTATATTCAGGAGTTTTACTACCGCCTTTGATAGGACTCCCGACAACAATCAGGCATTGTTCAGCATGCGTCTCGATTCAGCCGTTTCAAGCCGAAATCGTCTTGATCATTCCTCTCTCCATCCGATTTGTATCTTTCGCATGATTCAGCAAAGACGACTCGCTTTCGGCAAGATTTTGACGCAATCTCTGCTCAATCGGCACTAAAAGGGAACGAACATTTTCTCCAGATTATGCCCGTTCCACAGGACACCGTCCAGACATTACAACAACGGACATTGCTACGATTTTTATTCGATATAGCACAATTTGTCACGATTGTAATTCGACTAGACAAAATTGGGTGTTACGGGACGCACCCAACTGTCAGAAGTAATTGGTCAACCTCTACGGGCCTTTACCGATCCGCAAGACTCTGTTAAAGAACGTGTGCGACTTATAACAATGCTAGGACAGTCCATATCAGTGAGGATAGTTATCCGACTTTTTTTTCACAATTTTGGGTTTTTAGAAAATAGCTCGATCTGGCTATATATAAGCTCAATTGGGCTATAAAACTTATCCTTTCAAAATTTTTTTCATGTAATTTCAGTTTTTCACTTACTATTTAGAAAATAAAAAAACATCGTTGAATATTTATGTGTAAAAATCAACTTCTAATACGTTTTGGGGATTATTTTTACGGTAAAACTTATAAAAAATATTGCGAGATTATATTTAGAGTTCTTCATAATTATTTCTGCAAAGTTTTAGAGTGCACTTCCAAATAGTAAGCCAAAAAGTGAGCTAAAGTAGTCAGAACTCTTCTACTTCGTCAAAAGTATCTCCCTATTACAAACTCGTAAAGATAAATTTTTTGTAAAGGTTGGGGGAAATCCTCATGGATGTGTTGTATCCAATTTTATATGGGTATTATGCCACGTTAAAAGGTGTACCGTACCGACTTTGTTTGCGATAAGAATATTGCCTCATTTTTAGAAATTTTCCCATAATACGGTTTCCATGAACAGAGATGGAAATAAAAACCTTAAAAAAAATAATCTTTTATCTATATGTGGATTGTTTTGCAGTGGCATAAGATTACACAGCTCTCCTATCGCTTAAGCATCTTAAAGTTCAGAAATATTTGCACCGCGACCGAAATGGTCTGTTTTGTGGAAATTTATCTTTATAAAATTTATACAAGTTTACAAATATTTCTTAGCACAATACTAAAATTTGACTAGAAACAAGTATATAAGATGCAATAATACTAGTATCCTAAATAATGCACCTTACTACATTAAACTTTAATGGCCATAGAAACAGATGTAAACAATCCAAATATACAAAATTGCCCATTTTTACCTTTTTTAACAAATAATTTCATTTCTTTTGTTTAATTTCCACTGGATATTAGCATGAAAACTGCAGACGTGTACTTAAACTAGAGAGAGAGAGATGTCGATTTTTTTTAACAAATGTCAGGTAAGGCTAGTCGAGTGCACCTTACAAGAACTTTGAAAAAGAAAAATAAACATAGCGACAAACCTTCAGTTTACGGTTTATAGATAGAAGCATTGGTGTAATGTGTGATTTTGACAAATCAAAATGTATTATATATTAGCACTTGTAAATGAAACCTTAACAGTAACGTTGAAACAAATGAACTTGGATGATTTGGGGCATACACCTCACCAAGTCGATTGATTGATTGTTGGTCAGGTTGGGAAGAACCCCTCAAATGAGGAAAAACCGATGATGGCATCAGGAAATTACTATCCCTCTTAAGAAGGGTAAATTTCAAATTATATTTTTTTAAAACACTCTTTAAGTACAAAAGGGCACACATTTATATTATTTGCAGAAACTTTTCCCACAGAACAATATGTCCATCTGGTATTATATAAACAAAACATGTCCATGAATTTTGAAATACTAATGGACTTCAATCTTCTTTATTTTTTGAGAAAAACTTGTTGGTTGCATAATATCCAGTGGCAAATATTTCATGCATGTTCAGGAAGATTCCTCACAAAGTCGAGGACTTATGTTTTCCATTACTAAAATCGACCGAGGCTTTATCTATATTTTAATTCTGACTAGAATTATCTTATACAAAGTTTTAATTTATAAAGGAGTAGCTTCCTACACACATGACCTTAAAATGTCCTTCCAAAACAGGACAAAAGGTATGGCAGTTAACATAAATTACGTAGTCATGGCGGCGATCGTATATTTTCTCTGCAATCTTTTTACATATCATTAAAAGTTTCAAAAGTTATATCATATTTTAACAAACAAATTTTTATTACTGGATGTCGATCAATGATATGTCTTTTTGATTTAAATAAGCCGGGCACAAAAAACGTGCTCATACATTTGGGTGAACTTGATTTGATGAAAAAGTCTATAAAAACACCAATGGCTATACAAAACATGAAAATATACTTAATTTATTATTCGTATATAAATTTGCCAGAAACACCAGCCTTACCTGTTCAAGATGTTACCCAGTCCGATGTCCAGCAAATTATGTCTCTTTAGCCAGTTAGAAATTGATTTGACACGTGTTAACCAACCAAATTCGTCAAACGAACAATAAAAACCGGTCGTGAACAGTTTTCAATTTTCGAAAGCAGAAATAAATCTAGGTCTGAGAAGGCTTCATTTTTATGGAAAATCTCAAATATAATTATATGTCTAGGAATAGGAAACTTATAAGAAATAACGAGAAAACTTCCTTTGAATCCCTCTTATTGACGTAATAAAAATAAACCTACATAAAGGGGTTTCAAAAGGAATTCTCAACATAACAGCATAACTTACCCAAAATAGCGGGAAAATAAAGTAGATAATTGAAAGGTAGAATTAAAAGTGAAAAATAAAAAATTAAAAATATTGTAACATGTATACCTGATGAAAGTATGTGTGTGTGTATCATGACGCATGTTGTATTTCATGCAGACTTACATCCACCAATTCGGACAATTCGTGCATTCAATTCACTATATTGAAACTATAGTTTTGAATACCTTTACCCGGTCAACAAATTGGTACTGCTGAATTTTGTCACTGACTAGTATATTTTATCAATAAGATTATACAGCTCTCCTAGTGGATTGGTAAGGATTAACATTTTTAACAAATATTATTTTTCTAACGAACACATATATTATCAACATCAGGTAAACAGCAATTTTTATAGAAGTGGAAATAAAAAAATATATATGTACATCTTAGACTACAGTGGAAGGGCTCACTAACGCGCTAAAGTCAGTGTACCACAAGAAGCAAAAAACGGGGAAGGTCATCAGTGGTTCAGTGGTCTTTGAAGTTCATCTACAGTGATCACTACAACTTGTAAACAGTGGCAAGGTGTGTTCGATCGACTCTGATCTTAATTGACAAGGTTTGACAGCTTTTCTGTCGAATGTTGGTGGTTCTCTCCTGTCATTCTGGCTTCCTCTACGGATAAAAACGTGCCACCATGATGCTGCTGTTGAAAATGATTTAAAACAAACACAAGAAGCAATGTTCTTGGTCCGTATTCGTGACGATTAGACACTTCAGACACGCAAACTATCTATTAGCAGTCAGTTTGGTTCAATTTTGTCAAAAAAAAAACAACTAAAAATAACATTGCTGGTACATTATTGCATATCTTGTAATAAATTAATTCGACCTCAGTTGGACCCGTTTACATGCAAGAAATGATGTTGTTACCTTAGTAAGAGGTTAATTGCGAATGTGCTAAGCACGTTCATTGGATGAAAAGAGAGTCATATGGCAAGGCGTTTTACTATTTATTCTAACTTCAAAATATCTAATAAACTTTATAAGATATCTCATAAAGTTTATAAGATATTTTATATAGTTTATAAGATATCTTATATGGTTTATAAGATATCTCATACAATTTATAAGATATCTCATAAAACTTTCTTTATAAGATAAGTTAAACTTATAAATCATATGAGATATCTTATAAACTATATGAGATATCTTATAAACTATATAAGCTATTTTATAAAATATATGAGATATCTTATAAATTGTATAATATATCTTATATAAAAAATATTTATCAGATATCTAGTTCATAAGATATTTGAACACCGATTTCGTTGACAGATTCGACCCACAGTAATAATCATTCTAATGCAGATAGAATGATGATTTACATTTTTTGTCTATGATATTAGATAAAATAGAATCAGGAAAATCGTCAATATATTATACTATTGTACGTGCTTACAGTCTATCTATTTATATCGGAGTCAAATGCCCATTACCAATCTTGTGAAGTCATGTCAATGGCATTTAGTCCAAAGATTTGCACGAAATGTCGATTCTTTATAACGCGTCCAGGCATTGTTTATTATTTACTATGGTACTTTTGTAATTCTGGTGTACTTTTTATTACGCTGTGAATCAAATTTGAGAACTTGGGTCAATCTGATGGACATAAATTTGACATTTAATGTCGTTTTAATCGGCACAGCTTAGATCACCACTATGTGTCTTTTGTCTTTTTGTTGGTTGTTTTCCCTGCTTCGTGTCGACCTGCAATGATCTGATGAGTGAACCATTTTCTAACTGTTTTTTACAGTTCGTTTTTGTGTAGTGCTGTAACGTTACTCTCCCATGTTAAGGAGGGTGTTGGAGTGAGCGCTCCAAAACACGTTTTAACCACACAATATTCTTTATGTGCCTGTTCCAAGTAAGGAAGGATCCTTGTGTTCAGTGGTTGTCGTTTGTTCCTGTCGTCATATTGTTTTTCGTTTATTGTCATAGCATAAACCATGTCATTGGTTTTTTCGTTTGAATTATTTCATTTGCCATGAAGGGGCTTTTTATAGCTTACTTTACGATATAGTCTTAGCTGATTGTTGAAGGTCGTACAATGAAGTATAATTGTTTACATCCATGATTGTTGAAGGTCGTACAATGAAGTATAATTGCTTACATCCACGATTATTGAAGGTCGTACAATGATGTATAATTGCTTACATCCACGATTGTTGAAGGTCGTACAATGAAGTATAATTGCTTACATCCACGATTGTTGAAGGTCGTACAATGCAGTATAATTGCTTACATCCACGATTGTTGAAGGTCGTACAATGCAGTATAATTGCTTACATCCACGATTGTTGAAGGTCGTACAATGAAGTATAATTGCTTACGGCCACGATTGTTGAAGGTCGTACAATGATGTATAATTGCTTACATCCACGATTGTTGAAGGTCGTACAATGAAGTATAATTGCTTACATCCACGATTGTTGAAGGTCGTACAATGAAGTATAATTGCTTACATCCACGATTGTTGAAGGTCGTACAATGCAGTATAATTGCTTACATCCACGATTGTTGAAGGTCGTACAATGAAGTATAATTGCTTACGGCCACGATTGTTGAAGGTCGTACAATGATGTATAATTGCTTACATCCACGATTGTTGAAGGTCGTACAATGAAGTATAATTGCTTACATTCACGATTGTTGAAGGTCGTACAATGAAGTATAATTGCTTACATCCACGATTGTTGAAGGTCGTACAATGATGTATAATTGCTTACATCCACGATTGTTGAAGGTCGTACAATGAAGTATAATTGCGTACATTCACGATTGTTGAAGGTCGTACAATGAAGTATAATTGCTTACATCCACGATTGTTGAAGGTCGTACAATGATGTATAATTGCTTACATCCACGATTGTTGAAGGTCGTACAATGATGTATAATTGCTTACATCCACGATTGTTGAAGGTCGTACAATGATGTATAATTGCTTACATCCACGATTGTTGAAGGTCGTACAATGAAGTATAATTGCTTACATCCACGATTGTTGAAGGTCGTACAATGATGTATAATTGCTTACATCCACGATTGTTGAAGGTCGTACAATGATGTATAATTGCTTACATCCACGATTGTTGAAGGTCGTACAATGAAGTATAATTGCTTACATCCACGATTGTTGAAGGTCGTACAATGATGTATAATTGCTTACATCCACGATTTTTGGCCTCTGATGAATAGTTGTCCCATTGGAAATCATACCGCAAGGGAGACGGATTTTCGAAAGTTTTTTTTGTTTCCAAATCCCAATATTTCAGTTGTTAATTTGTCATTTATACACTTTGAAAAAGAAAATATAGTTTATAGTTCCTTATTTGTATAGCAACTTCAGGGGAGAGGAAGTAAGGATCTCTGAAAATTTGAAGAATCCTTTTTAAAAATGTCGCAAACATATCATTAAGCAGAAAACGGAAAAGGTTTTCTTGAAATACTTAGGGGACGATAATGTCATATTCTTGGAAAGGGACAGTAACCTTTTTTCGGACGGAATTTTCTTTTTTCAGCTTTTGCAAGTTTCGATTATAAGAAAATTGAATGTTCACTTTTATGGTCGTCCCATAAAGTAAAAACGTACATTTTCTCGATATTGGACTGATGCCCATATCCTGTAAAGTTAATCCGCACCTGGAGTCGGATTGTACGTTAGGTCTCATATTTATTTTTAATCAAGTGAATGTTGATATTATTCCCACTTGAAATTACACACAGAAGTAAACGTTCTGATGGGTATTTATATAAAGGTGTTTAAGATATATTATTGAATTCGTTTCTGTAAAATTAAAGAACCAAAAGGTTTATTTACACAAATGTCAAGGTGGAATTCAGTACTTGTAAGTCGCTCAACACGTATTTTTACCGTGAATACATTCTCCCACGCAAATATTTACACTGCTTAAGTTTGTTTTTTTATTGTATATATATGCAAAATGCTAAACGCTTTGCTTAGTGGACAGAATGCATATAAAAGTAAGTGTTTTATCAGCAGACGTTTGTCACTTAGTTCATTATAGTGTTTCTGTAGCCAAAAGTTTTTGACGTATCTGTACTATACAAGACAGCCATTTATAATTTAAATGTTCTTTAAAACAAAAGTTTGACACTCTGGTCTCCTATAGACATAACTTTGCAATTAAGCTGTTCAGAAGACCGGAGACGTTTGTAACTTTGCTTTTCTTCAAACAGGAGAAGTTTGTTGGAATTTTGTAACCTAGCTTTTTCAAGTCAGGAGAAACATAATACTACATTTGATTAATGTCCTGTAAACTTTGGCAATATATATAAAGATATCCCTGAAAATGAATATTCAAGCGATTTTCTAAAAGCGCTTTTGCCCTCCGGCTCCTACGCCCCTCCGCTGAATATAATCTATCAAACATATTTAGTATCTAAGGAATAATGAAAAACAACTAAGCTTTAATAGATAGGGTATATACAAAGAACATAAAAGTAGAAAACCAACCTAAAATTCGTTTGCTGTTTTACTTCTACACTACACAAAATGTGATAAATTTAGTCTTTTTGTAACTTGTTACCCCCCGAAAAAGCGTATTAAAGAAATAAGTACAGATTGCAAGTATTTAAGCTGGTACCCCGTCGACACTGACAATAAAGGAGAGTTTTAATTAAACCTCGTAATGGATGTGTTAGTCAAAGGTATCTCTGTTTGCGTTTAAACTGCCATTCATTTGAATAAACTGCCGGAGGAAACCATAATA